TGTATATATAATTTTATATCTACAATAAATTAATATCTTTTCTATTATAAAATTTCTAGAAACTATATTTCATAGCACAAAAATTCCTCCATTGTTTCAGTGCAGCATAACCCGTTGCAAGGGACTTTGATGCGGCCCATGTTGGCTAGTTGCAACAGATTGACATGGCTGCAATAAGGACATAAAGACATTTCACATCAACGCCATTGTCGCAAATCGTTTGAGTTTAGCAAGCAATTCTCATAATTTTACCACATTCTGCATCCGTTCGTAATTTGTAGCGCTTTGTGAGGCAAACAGCTTGAATGCCGACATTCACAATGCTGTAAATACATATATACATACATGCATACATAGTATGTCCATGTATCTGCATGTATTTGGATATGCATGTGGGTGGCGTGTGTTTGGGCTGAGCCCGCACCTTGAATTCCCGCCAGCTGCCTGACAACTATGAAGGCAGCGACAGCGACTGCGACTGCGACTGCGGCAGCGACAGCAGCTTCGTTTGTGCAATTAGAATTCAAACCGTATAAAGAACAAACTGCGCTTTTTATGTAAGCCAAAAAAAAAAAAAAAAAAAAAGAGCCAGTTGCATAAAAGCCAAAGACGCCTTGGGCCACATGCATTCACATAGTCATTCATTCATTCCTTCAGTCAGTCAGTCAGTCAGTCAGTCAGTTAGTCAGTCAGTCATTCACACTCGTTGTGTCGCCAGCGCCGGTTTCAGTTTCAGGCTGTGCTCATTCATTAGATAGCCATGGAGGCCGACTCGTAAATAAAACTGTATCCCGCATCGGATTAGTAGCTGAAATGAATAGCTGCAGCTGCAGCTGCAGCAACCTCAGCCTCAGCCCCAGCCCCAGTCCCAGTCCCAGCCCCAATCTCAGCTTTAGCTTCAGCCTCAGCCTCAGTAGTATTCTCAGTCTCGGTCTCAGCTTTTGCTTACAGGTTTTTGGCCACAGCCTGTGCTGCTTTAGCTTCGTGTGCATTTTACGAGCAGCCCCAATCTCCAAAAGGCAGCTCGACATAAAAACTATGACAAAGGTGGGCGTTGAGCTCTGGCTGTCACAGCTACAGCTTCTGCAGCTCCTGCTACTGCTCCTGCTACTGCTGCTGCTGCTGCTGTTTCTCTTGGCTGTTAGCTTCTTAGTCAGTTTTATGAATGCTTACCGATTTGCTGCTGACAATCTGTCCGCTGGCGTTGTTTCCCAACAAAGCCGGCCGTAGAGACCAGCGAGCTATTCGCACAGAGCTGGCGTGCTGAATGGCTCGCAAGCAAGTATGGAGCAGATGGACTTTTGTCTGCCGGGTTTCATAATGTCGTGTTTAGGCCAGCAAATGATATTCTCAAGGCATTTCCTAATTGAATAGTGTGGCTGACAAATTTCAGCTTGGCTTTGACTCTGGCACAGTCAGATCCAAATGCCATCTCTCTCTCTCTCTCTCCCTCTCTATGTCTCTTTCTTTGCAACTGCCACATGCCTCATGCCCAATGCTAATTATATGCATCTCCAAACATCTGCAGCCACAGAATGCAGCAAGTGCAACGGCAAATCAGCTTTAGATTTTGAAATATGAATACCACTAAAAGATATATACATACATA